GAAACCTCATGTCCAGGAGCCTCATGTCCAGAAACCTAATGTCCAGAAACCTCGTGTCCAGAAACTTCGTGTCCAGAAACTTCGTGTCCAGAAACCTCATGTCCAGAAACTTCGTGTCCAGAAACTTCGTGTCCAGAAACCTCATGTCCAGAAACTTCGTGTCCAGAAACTTCGTGTCCAGAAACCTCATGTCCAGAAGCCTTATGTCCAAACACCTCATGTCCAGAAACCTCGTGTCCAGAAACTTCATGTCCAGAAACCTCAAGTCTAGAAACCTCATGTCCAGAAACTTCATGTCCAGAAACGTAATGTCCAGAAACGTCATGTCCACAAACTTCATGCCCAGAAACTCATGTCCAGAAACTTCATGTCCAGAAACTTCATGTCCAGAAACTTCATGTCCAGAAACCTCATGTCCAGAAACTTCATGTCCAGAAACCTCATGTCGAGAAACCTAATGTTCAGAAACATCACGTCCAGAAACCTCATGTTCAGAAACCTCATGTTCAGAAACCTCATGTTCAGAAACCTCATGTCCAGAAACCTCATGTCCAGAAACATCAAGTCCAGAAACCTCATGTCCAGAAACTGCATGTCCAAAAACCTAATGTCCAGAAACTTCTTGTCTGGAAACTTCTTGTCCAGAAACCCCATGTCCCGAAAACTCATGCCCAGAAACTTCATGTCCAGAAACCTCATGTCCAGAAACTTCAAGTTCAGAAGCCTCATATCCAGAAACTTCATGTCCAAAAACCTCATGTCCAGAAACCTCATGTCCGGAAGCCTCATATCCAGAAACTTCATGTCCAGAAACTTCATGCCCAGAAACCTAGCTTAAAGAAATTTCATGACCAAAATCTTTATGTCAAGAAACTTCATGTCCAGGAACTTCATGTGCAAATTATACATGTCCAGAAACCTCATGTCCAGAAACCTCATGTCCAAAAACCTCATGTCCAGAGACCACATGTACAGAAACCTCATGTCAAGAAACCTCATGTCCAGAAATCTCATGTCCCGAAACCTCTTGTCCAGAAACCTCATGTATGCAAACCACATGTCCAGAAACCTCATGTCCAGAAATCTCGTGCCCAGAAGCCTCATGTCAAGAAACCTCTTGTCCAGAAACCTTATGTCAAGAAATCTCATGTCCAGAAACCTCACGTGCAAAACCCACATGTCCAGAAACCTAAATGTCTAGAAACCTCATGTCCATATACCACATGTCCAGAAACCTCATGTCCAGAAACCTCATGTAGAAAACCTACATGTCCAGAAACCTCATGTCCAGAAACCTCTTGTCCAGAAACCTCATGTGCAAAACCCACATGTCCCGAAATCTCATGTCCAGAAACCTCTTGTCCAGAAACCTCATGTCCACAAACTTCATGTCCAGAAACCTAATGACCAGAAACTTCATGTCCAGAAACCTCAAGTCCAGAAACCTCATGTGAAGAAACTTCATGTCAAGAAACTTCATGTCCAGAATCTTCATGTCCAGAAACCTCTTGTTCACAAACTTCATGCCCAGAAACCTCATGTCTAGAAACTTCATGTCCAGAAACTTCATGTCCAGAACCCTCATGTTCAGAAACTTCATGTCCAGAAACCTTATGTCGAGAAACCTCATGTCCAGAAACCTCATGTCCAGAAACCGCATGTCCAAAAACCTAGTGTCCAGAAACTTCTTGTCCTGAAACTTCTTGTACAGAAACCTAATGTCCCAAAAACTCATGCCTAGAAACCTCATGTCCAGAAACCTGTATTTAGCCATGACAACCACATCCAGCCCAGTCCCACTCCACACAGACCCACCAACCCTCTCCCACTCCACACTGATCTTCCAGCCCTCCCACACTCCACACAGATCTGCCAGCCCACTCCCACTCCTTGCAGACCCTCCATTCATCTCCCACTCCAAACAGACCTGCCAGTACACTCCCACTCTACACAGACCTACTAACCCACTCCCACCTCACACTGACCTTTCAGCCCACTCCAACTCTATACAGACATACTAATCCACTCCTACTCCTCACAGACCTTCCAGGCCACTCCTACTCCCACCCACACAGACCTGCCAGCCCACTCCCACTCCCATAGACCTACCAATCCACCCCCCACTTCACACAGCCCCTACCAACCCACCCCCATCAAAAATGACCTTTCACCCCCCAACTCCAACCCCTTACAGACATACCAATCCACCCCCCAATACACACATACCTCCCGACTACTCCCACTCACACAGACGTTCCACCCCACCCCACCCCACACGCCCCTCCCAGACACCCCGACTCCAACAGATTCCCATGCCCACTCCCACCCATGTATACCCCCCATACTTCTCACAACACACAGACCTGCCACCCCACCCCTACTCAACGGGGCCTGTCAACCCACTCCCACTCCACACGACCGCCAGCCCACTCCCAATCCACAGTGACTTGCCATCCCACCCCAAACTCCCGCAGCCCCTGTAAAGTTTTTCCCATCCACACAGCCCTGCTAGCACACTTCCTCCCCACAGAGACCTTTATCCCCACCCAACCGACACAGACCCAAGGCCACTTCCACCCCTCAAACCTGCCAGCTAACCCCCACTCCCCCAAAAAACCTGCCATCCCACCCCCCACTCCCACAGATCTCCACCCCCACCCCCACTCCACGCAGACCTCCCACTAACTCCCGCTCCACAAGACCGCCAGCCGACTCCCTCCCACAGGCCCCTGCCTTTCCACCCCACTCCAGACAGACCCCCAGTCCTCCCCACCCCAAAACCTGCCAGTCCTCTCCCTCCCCACACAACTGCCACCCCACCCCACTCCACCAGCCCTGCCGGGCCACTTCCACCTCACAGACGTGCCAGTTGACCCCCACTTCACACAACCTGCCACCACCTCTCCCCACACTGACTGTTTTCCACTCCCCCACTCCACACAGTCCTACCAACCCAACTTCCATCCATCAGACCTGCCATCCCCTTCCACCCCACACAACCTCCCAGCCCACTCCAACCCACAAGACCTGCTAGCTCACTCCCACTCCTAAAAACTACCTAGTTCACTCCTATCCACACGACCTGCCACCCACTCCCACTCCACACAGCCCCCTGCCGACCCCCTTTCCCCAACAGAACTGTAGCCCACTCTAAACCCATAAGACCTCAACCCCTCCCACCCCAACAACCTCCAGCCCACTCCGGCCCTTACCAGACCTGCCTGCCCACTCCAAATCCACAAAACCCGGGAGCCGCTCCCACTTCTCAAAAACCATAGTTCACTCCCAGTCCACATAACTGCCTCCCACTCCCCCTCCACACAGCCTGCCAGCCCACTCCCTCTTCAGACAGACCTGCCCGCCCACCGCACTCCAGACAGATCTGCCAGCCCACTCCCACTCCATACAGGCCGCCACCCCTCCCACTCCACATAGACCCGCCCGCCTATCCCATCCCCCAACCCTGCCAGCCAACTCCTACTCCAAACAGACCTGCCAGCCCACTCCTACTCCACACAGTCCCGCCAGGCAACTTCCACTCCTCACAGACCTGCCAGCTAACTCCCACTCCACATAAACATTCCAGCCCACTCCCTCCCCACACAAACCTGCCATCCCACTCCCTCTACAGACAGACCTGCCAGCACACTCCCACTCCACACAGTCTACCAACCAACTTCCACTCCTCACAGACCTGCCAGCCCACTCACACTCCTCACAGACCTACCAATACACTCCCACTGCACACAGACCTGCCAGCCCAGTCCTACTCCACACAGATCTGCCAGCCCACTCCAACTCCTCACTGACCTCCCAGCTTACTCCCACTCCGCACAGACCTGCCATCCTACTCCCACTCCACACAGACCTGCCAGTCCACGCCCTCTCCAGACAGACCTGCTAGCCCACTCTCTCTCCAGAGAAACATGCTAGCCCACTTTCACTCCAGACCTGCCAGCCCACTCCCACTCCAGACAGACCTGCCAGCCCACTCGCACTCCACCCACATCTGCCAGCCCACTCTTAGTCCACGCACACCTGCCAGCCCAGTACCACTCCACTCAGACCTGCCAACCCACTCCCACTCCACAAAGACCTGCCATCCCACTCCCACTCAACACAGAACTGCAAGCCCACTCCAACTCCACACAGACTTCTCTATTCACTCACACTCCACACAGACCTGCCATCCCACTCCCACTCCACAAAGCACTGCCAGTCCACCCCCTCTCCAGACAGACCTGCTAGCCCACTCTCTCTCTCCATAGAAACATGCTAGCCCACTCTCACTCCAGACAGACCTGCCAGCCCACTCCCACTCCACACAGTGCTGCCAGCCCACCCCCACTCCACACAGACCTGCCAGCCCACTCCGTCTCCACACAGACCTACCAGCCCACTCCCACCCCACTCAGAGCCGGTCATCACAGTACAGTTCAGTCAGTAAATAGGTACTGATCACGTTATATCTGCTTCCTTCTCATCACTCACTAGAGTAACTGTTACCACTTAATCTGCTCTTAATTAACACATTGCACAACAAGGGACAGTATAATGTAAGAAATAATATATTTATACAAGCATGAGAGAAAGCTATACAGTGGACCCCCGGTTAACGATATTTATACAAGCATGAGAGAAAGCTATACAGTGGACCCCCGGTTAACGATATTTTTTCACTCCAGAAGTATGTTCAGGTGCCAGTACTGACCGAATTTGTTCCCATAAGGAATATTGTGAAGTAGATTAGTCCATTTCAGACCCCCAAACATACATGTACAAACGTTATATCTGCTTCCTTCTCATCACTCACTAGAGTAACTGTTACCACTTAAACTGCTCTTAATTAACACATTGCACAACAAGGGACAGTATAATATAAGAAATAATATATTTATACAAGCATGAGAGAAAGCTAGAGTTTATTACACTTATTATGAAAATATCGGGAACATTCAATCACACTTTAAGAACTCTTAGGAAAATTAAAGGTTACTTGGTGGAGACTATAATTATACTAATGGGGCTATTATATTGATCTAATTCATAATTGTAAAAATTGTTTGAATACAGAATTATGTAAATGATTCACTAAAATTCATTTATAAAACTTCATCTTGAAAATATGTAGCCACTCGTCCTGCCGTCATCTCGCCCTCAAGTGTTAACTTCTGGCTCTCTGTAGCCACATTTCTAGGTATATATGCCCTTTTGTTATTAGTTTGTCTTAGGTGGGTGATATTGACACACGAATTGCCGCTCCGACACACAAGATTCATCGTTAAGTGATGGGTGTGAGTGAAGAAACATCTCGACACAAAATTCAGAATTGTGTTTGTTGTTGGGTTCACCAGGTGCCCAGTTGCTGCTGTTAATGGCTTCTCCATTCACCCACTTAAACTGTCTGTTTTCCCCTTCGTCTGCGCCGCCCACGAACACTGGGATCGTCTGCAGTGTTTCATATGAGTTAATTCCTGTTCCAAGGATAAGAGGGATTTATTAATGGTAATTCTGACCTGGAAATACAGGTGTGAGACTTCAGGGAAGGGGACCACTATTATGGTAGAAAAAAATATACAAAAATTTAATTTTTTATTTAAGTGATGTGAAAAAATACTTCATAATTCTGTCAATTTTTTTGCAGTTTAATTAAAAGATTGTTTCTACTATTTTTCTAAGTTATGTTATGAGATATTTTGATAAATTAGACACATGTGTCTAATTTATCAACATGTCGGTTCTCTGAACCATTCATCTACAAATGAGATATTTTATTTTACGCATGATAACGTCGTAGCAATGACGCAGAAGTGATACTTGACTGTTTTTGGTATTCCGTAACATTGAGTATATATATTTTTTAATGTTTTTATGTGTTTAAATGTCTAAATATCACTATATGGCAACTATTATGAACACAGGTACAGACTATTGGCCTGCACACCTTGCTGTGGCACGAACACAGGTACAGACTATTGACCTGCACACCTTGCTGTGGCACGAACACAGGTACAGACTATTGGCCTGCACACCTTGCTGTGGCACGAACACAGGTACAGACTATTGGCCTGCACACCTAGCTGTGGCACGAACACAGGTACAGACTATTGGCCTGCACACCTTGCTGTGGCACGAACACAGGTACAGACTATTGACCTGCACACCTTGCTGAGGCACGAACACAGGTACAGACTATTGGCCTGCACACCTTGCTGTGGCACGAACACAGGTACAGACTATTGGCCTGCACACCTTGCTGTGGCACGAACACAGGTACAGACTATTGGCCTGCACACCTTGCTGTGGCACGAACACAGGTACAGACTATTGACCTGCACACCTTGCTGTGGCACGAACACAGGTACAGACTATTGGCCTGCACACCTTGCTGTGGCACGAACACAGGTACAGACTATTGGCCTGCACACCTTGCTGTGGCACGAACACAGGTACAGACTATTGGCCTGCACACCTTGCTGTGGCACGAACACAGGTACAGACTATTGGCCTGCACACCTTGCTGTGGCACGAACACAGTACAGACTACTGGCCTGCACACCTTGCTGTGGCCGAACACAGGTACAGACTATTGGCCTGCACACCTTGCTGTGGCACGAACACAGGTACAGACTATTGCCTGCACACCTTGCTGTGGCACGAAACACAGGTACAGACTATTGGCCTGCACACCTTGCTGTGGCACGAACACAGGTACACACTATTGGCCTGCACACCTTGCTGTGGCACGAACACAGGTACAGACTATTGGCCTGCACACCTTGCTGTGGCACGAACACAGGTACAGACTATTGGCCTGCACACCTTGCTGTGGCACGAACACAGGTACAGACTATTGGCCTGCACACCTTGCTGTGGCACGAACACAGGTACACACTATTGGCCTGCACACCTTGCTGTGGCACGAACACAGGTACAGACTATTGGCCTGCACACCTTGCTGTGGCACGAACACAGGTACAGACTATTGGCCTGCACACATTGCTGTGGCACGAACACAGGTACAGACTATGGCCTGCACACCTTGCTGTGGCACGAAACACAGGTACACACTATTGGCCTGCACACCTTGCTGTGGCACGAACACAGGTACAGACTATTGGCCTGCACACCTTGCTGTGGCACGAACACAGGTACAGACTATTGGCCTGCACACATTGCTGTGGCACGAACACAGGTACAGACTATTGGCCTGCACACCTTGCTGTGGCACGAACACAGGTACAGACTATTGGCCTGCACACCTTGCTGTGGCACGAACACAGGTACAGACTATTGGCCTGCACACCTTGCTGTGGCACGAACACAGGTACAGACTATTGGCCTGCACACCTTGCTGTGGCATGAACACAGGTACAGACTATTGGCCTGCACACCTTGCTGTGGCACGAACACAGGTACAGACTATTAGCCTGCACACCTTGCTGTGGCACGAACACAGGTACAGACTATTGGCCTGCACACCTTGCTGTGGCACGAACACAGGTACAGACTATTGGCCTGCACACCTTGCTGTGGCATGAACACAGGTACAGACTATTGGCCTGCACACCTTGCTGTGGCACGAACACAGGTACAGACTATTGGCCTACACACCTTGCTGTGGCACGAACACAGGTACAGACTATTGGCCTACACACCTTGCTGTGGCACGATAACTACTTAGTAACAAGCAGAAAGGCATCAGAGTAAATATGTTTACTTTATCAAAAATTCCAGCACAAGACACAGTGAGAACCGTAGCAACCAGCTGTGAAGGAAAGTCTGCCAAGGCTGTGTGACGAGTGTACCACATCGCTTCACAGCTTTGGTGGGGCCCCTGGCACCTGGTTCGCTGGTCTGGAGGCAGCCTATATGGGTGTGTGACATATGCCGTATATAATATAACATACTCTTAGCATGTCACAGCAACTATCAGGGGCCAAGTTGAATATCAATGATATTCAATACAGATAATATGATGAATGAGACACGTGCAAAATCTATGTATCTTGTAAACTTTTTGCCATCCTGTGGCTTTATCAATACAATATATGGACATAATAGAAACATATACAGCAAATAGCGGAAGATATGGTAGTCAGTCCCTCAGCCTAGGGCAGGTGATGAGCACCATAATCTTTAAGAATCTGAAGCACAGGCAAGAAGATTGATGCTGGAGTCAGAGGACATGCAGCAGACGAAGGCATTATCACTGGTAGGAGGAACTCTCCAGTGGTAGTTGGTCATGAACCAGGAGTTGAACCAGGAGTTAACAAGTAGAATTCTGTAATGTCCTCTGTATCAAGATTCTATGATGTTGCTGTGTCCGACAAGTTGTATATCAATGGTATTCAGTACCGACAAGATTTACAAATGTTGCATAAGTGTTTCAGTCTTCAACTTGTCACTTTTCTAAACTATTTACATCACGATAACATGATGAATTAGAAACATGTGCAGGATCTAGGTATCTTTACTTGCACATGTGTCTAACTCATCATCTCGTTGATACTGAATGCCACTGCTATACAACTTGTCACACACAGCAACATTACTATAGAGAGTAACGAGAGACTCAGCTTCGAGACTAAGAACTTTTCAGGTTGATGTGGCCGAACATATACGATGAAATCTTGAGAGTGACGGGGGTGAAAAAGTCAAGAAAACAAATGATAGTTTTAGTAACAAATATGCAAGAGGATAAGAGGCGGAGCCTTGAGAGGAAATAATTGGGGCAAAGGAACGCCTGGTTTGTGAATTTTAAGATCATAGAAATAAAGTATAGAGGGAAAGATAGCAGGGAAACGTTGAACAAGATCAAAGTCAGAAGGACAGAGATTAGAGACAGTACAAAGATTATGACTGAAAGTTCTCAAGATAAGATCAAGAAGGTTGAAAACAAGAGGAGTGTAGGTGCATGTGTCAGTCAGCGAGGATTCAGCTCATTAGAGGCAATCCTCACGATTGAGGACAACCACCGACTTGCCTTTGTCAGAAAGAAGGAAAACAATATCAGAGGCGGAGAACGACCATGTGGACAACTGGAAAGTGTAAAGGGATAGTTGGGTGCTTGATGAAGCGGTAATGGATGAAAGATGGTGCCTAAAAAGTAGGCGTCATCATTAATGTGTCAGGTCACCTACAATTGACTGAGCACGTCGGATATAGGAAAAAATATTTAAAGTACCACAATAGAAAACTATTTATACAAACCGGTTTCGTCTATAATGAAAGTCTTGAGAGCATAGAGGTTTTTGGGTGAAGCCAAGTCTCCCATCATTCCCTGACAGTGCTGGCGTGCATTGTTCCAGGTCAGTCTGTGTGTACTCAGGTGGAAGCACTCGTCCAGGACCTGTTTGTAAGGGTAAGGGCAGTACGGACCTGGAAAAATATTAAAGGATGTTGAACAATATTTCTTGTCTTGTGAAATATATAAACATCTTGTAGTGTTTGTCAGAAGAAAGCTTATAACCTCATTGTAATTATAAGCTCTTTTGTAGGATTTATTAAGACAAGTATGTTTACTGTTGATTTCCTTCGTTTAATGAGGAGGTTGTGCACTTTCCAGTGTCATTTGTGTACCAGGTTTCATACTTCTGATGTCTATCCTAGGTGTTTCCTTCTCCTGGTTCCAATCTTTACATCTTGTCCAGTGATTGCAATCACCTCACCTGCATACCAGATTGGTTTGAACTATTTCCGTTTCCCTGTCCTTTCCACTTGCGGTGGAAAATCATTGTCCATGGAAGATAATAGAGATAAATGTTCCGTAGCGGCAACATGAAGGGGGAAGTATTTTTTACACAGGGAGAGCTTATTAAAATGAGAGAAGGAGTAAATTATTGTAAGCCAGACCTACCCAGCTTCACTGTATGGCCATTGTGGTGAATAATAAAATACTATCCAGATCACAGTTAAGAGCTTGAACAGTCCCTGGCTAACACCCAGCATCCTTAAATCCATTAACACAAAGCACCTATATGAAAACAGTATAGAATGGGTCAAATAACTAGACCTGGAAAACCATATCCAAAATTCTAGTAACTAAAAAAATATCCAAGAACAAAACAATCATATTAACAAATCAGACGAACCCCTACTCCCACCAATTGAAACAGAAAACAGACTCAATGTTATCTTCACCATAGGAAAGAACCTAGCGAGCAAAATCCATCCATCAGACTACCTCACGGGTACCTACACGAATACACTATTTCTAGCCCCAACCAACCCAACAGAAGTCTCGCTCATCATCAACACCCTTAAAAACAAGGCAACGGACATAAATAACTTACCACCTCTTATGTACAAAAAAGCATCAGAAGTACTTTCACCAATTATTGCAACACTCTTTAACAAATCCATCAAATCCTCCACCTTCCCATCAATTCTCAAATAGCGAGGGTTACCCCGATCCACAAAGGAGGTGATCAAATGACTTAATAACTATAGACCAATGTCAAACCCCTACCTCGCTCTCAAAATCTATTCCACCTCGCCACACAACTTCTAACCCCTGTTATTTGAATTTGGACTAATAAAAGTAAAAATGATGATAAACCAACTAAACAAATATACACTGCTCTCCAAAGAAAGAAGTCCCGCTGGAAAACTTCATTTTTTATGTAAAGCTTTTGATACAGTCGACCATACTGCTGCACTTTAAATTAAACCAATGTAAAAGAGGGCACTCTCTCAACTACCTAAAGAACAGAACCAAATTGGAAACCAAAATGGAGCAAACTCTTCCATCAACCAACACAGTCATATCCCAAAAGGAATGCCCTTTGGGCCCATCTTTTCTTATTTACCAATGCCCAAACCCAAAGGACAGGGCTACTCAAACTTTCTCTTCTTTCCTAAAAACTCAACATCTAGCCAACCTTTAATGCCAAATTTGCAGAAATTCTCCCTGGATGATAACAAATAAGCTTACCCTCAATACTACAAAACCTTTTTCATTCAATTTGGAAAACAGAGCGCAAAAGGGCCCACTTAACATAACCCTAAACGGATCCACACACAAGACCAAGGGGAAAAATTCCTACAAATCCCCCTTGCAGTCCTAAAATTCCAGACACAATACAACAAATTTCCAAGAAAAATCTCAAAAGACAGGGGGCATACTGCCCAAAGATACGGTACTATTCCAAAAATACTGCCCTTTGACTGTATCATTCACCCACTCCCCTTTATCTCATTATGGAAATTTTTTTGAATGGGAATCAACACCTTTAAAACCCCTAAGACCACAAAAACCCCAGAAAAAGGTCCCATAAGAAATAAAAAAATTCCCCACTCCCCACAGCATACTCCACCAATTTTCAAAAGTCAAAACGTTCAATTAAGAACTTTTTCTTATTCTGGCCTACTAAATAACGGAACCCATACCCCCAAAACATAAACCCCCACCAAATTTCCTCCCAACTTAACACGACCACAACACAAAACCAGACTTTTATGATGCCTTTTTGTCTGTCACACTGCGAAAAATTTTCTAGCACATAAAGGGCCCCCCAAAATTTGGAATTCTTTCCATGAATACTAAAGAAACCAGGTCTGAAACCAATTTAAGGCTCTTAAAAACCACCTACTCACCCTAAAGTAAAAACTCAAATTTTTTAACTTTACAAAAAATCCCAAAATTTCCTAAATCTAAAAAATTCAAATCTAACCCCAAAGTTCATATATTTTTAAAATGTATACATTGTATAAAAACCTACCCAAACCCAAATTTACTGCTTACACACAATTGAACTTCTCATACGAAAATTTTACTTTCAAAAAACCACAATTTTAATTTCCCATAATATAAATTTCTGTTTTTTCATTGTTAAAACTATTGTAATTAGAAAAAAATTACGTCTGTATAAACAAAAATAGATTACAATTTTTTTCTTTAAGGTCTCTAACCTTTTTAATTTTAATTTTGCCCATAATGCCTAGGCAGAAGTGGCTCTCTACGCACTGTAACTCATTTTGTAATTTCACAATCTCAATTAATTGGGGAAAAAAAATTTCCCAAAATAATACGTATTTTTTTTTAATAATGAAAAAATATGCCTGATTAATCATACATTGCTCTAAAGTGTTTTTTAAAAGAAGTGAACCAACCGGAACTCTGCGCCTGCGCTGACGGCAGGGAAAGGGGGCCCTTTTTTTTTAAATTTCACAGGCACCTAATGAAATCGCATAAATTTCGTCGCTCTTGAATTTAAAATTGTGGTGAAATTTCCCCCAAATAGGGTAAAAATTTTGGATTTGCATCCTGCATAACGGAGATTAAGTGAGGACAGGACAGCTTAGGAACCCCCAGCTAAGTCGTTGTCTATTTATTTTAAAATTCTGGCCGATTTTTCTTCATATTTGGGCGGGGGGGGCTATGCACCCCGTAAACTCCAGACAAATTGGTGATTTTATGTTTATAAATTTCCTTCTGAAATCATTTATTAATTTTAACATACAGTAAAACATTTTTTTTTTTTTTTTTTAAAAATTCCCCTGGGGTTTTTTTATTGAAATTAAATAGGTCCAAGGATTGTAGAGAGAAAATTTAAACGTAATTTAAAAAGGGGGGGGACATTTTTTTGGACCTGGGTGTCCAAAATTTTTCCTATTCCTCGCAAGTAGGAAAAATTATCTTTGTTACCATTTTTTTTATCTTATGGTTACATCCAGAAAATTTAATTTTCCACTTATTCCCCATTGGCCTTGATTGAACTGGTTTAAATTAGTGAAGCATTTTTTAGTGAATTAAATTACTTAATAATAATATAGTAATGTGAAGGGGGTGGATGTTAGGTCCAAAAAATTTACTTAATGTGTAGTGGATTTATAATTTTTAAAATACAAATTTGCTAAGCCAAGTCTGGAAAGGATAAGTAAATCGGGCTAGGATTCTATTAATGCATTTAAAATTTTATTTTATATTTCCTTACATGGTAATTGCAAGCTCGGGTGTACTAGGATTTATTTTAATGCATTAAAATTTTTAATAATTTCCTTACAGTGTAATTGTTAACTCAAGTGTAGCAAAATTATTTAAGAAATTTTTAAAGTTTATATTTTAATTTTTCCTTACAGTAATTGCTAATCAATAGCTAGGATTTATTCAAGGTAATTCTAATTTTTACCTTTATAAAGTCTAATTAAGTACATAAAATGTTATTTAAATTTAAATTGATTTAATACATTGCACCATGGTGAAAATGGGAAAAAAATGAAAGACAAACACAAAGAATTTAGAGCAAACAAGTCATCATTTCCTAAAAAAAGTCAAGGGGCTATCAAGTGGCAGGAAACAGAAAAAGATTCTCCACAAGGGAAGAAGAAAAGTACTCTCCCAAAAAGAGCCCAGTTAATAAAAAACCACCAAAAAAGAGAGATTGTCCCTTCTGCGAGGGGGCTCATTTTTTCTGAGAATTTCAATGCTTTTCAAACAGGGAATGATAAAGTTGAAAGATTGGGGGAACTTTAAGATGTATCAGGGGTTTTAGGTAATCCAATGAAAGGATGTCATGCCCCAAAATTAAAAAAACGTTTTCCCAATGTACAAAGGAAGACACCCCTATTGTCGGTAAAGGCATAATGTAATGTTGATAATAATGGGAAGTTTACAATCCTACACAACAGTGGCTAATGTAAAAATTGCTCTAAAGTTAAAATTTTTTGGTTTTGCTTTAATAGCCTTTCGGTTAAGGGAAAAATTATGAAAAAGACATAAATCAAAAACTGTAACTGCATTATTAGACCAAGGTCACAGTGTACTTTTATAAACAAATGTCTAATGGGTTTTAAAGTACGATGGGAGATCCCAACTCTAAAATTATCTGGTTTTCTCTCGGATAAAAGGGCTCAATTGTATGACACTTTTATGAAACGTTAGTTTGGGCAATGAGAAAAAAAAGTGGGTTTAAGCAGTAATTGTAATAAACTTCCAAAGAGAAAAAAATTACAGCTTAGTAAAGCTACAAAAGACCTCCCTAAAGTAATTTTGCACCCCTTTTGGGTAAATGATGATTCTGTAGGGCCCCAAAAAATATTTGATAGGTATGACTTTATGCCCCCTTTTTAAAGGGAGGTAAGAAATTTGGGGTCACCCTTTTAAAAATGCGAGGGCCCTTAATGTTTGGTAGGATTCCTAATAAAATAATGCCTGACTAGGGAAAATATAAAAAACTATAACGTGTGCTTACTCATGAGATCGTGCCCCAGTAAATTCTTCCATAAGGGATGGTGTTACCGTGCATAAATTTGGGAATTAGACAGCATTGGAATAAATGTAAATGAAAAAGCCAGACATTCTTTTACCCGGGGCAATACCTGGTGATGTAAAATTTAAACTGGACAAACTGGGAGACTTCCCTGGAGACTGAACCCCA